AAAACGCGACTTGCGAAAGTTAGGCCACCATGTAAAGTTGGCCTAGAAAACACACCAGGGGAATATCAGGGCATTCAAAACCTGATTTTCTATTTCTTTCAGAGACCGTACACCTTCATCTCTTCACGAGACGACTCCATGGCTTCGATGTCTTCGTCGAACGGCGTCTAGCCAGGATTTGATTCGTGAAACCGAACAAAGTTGCCTGGAAACCCCTGAAGAAGCAGAGAAGCCCATTCCATCATCAACCCCTCAATCTCCATCAGTGACGTCGTCTCCGATGCCTCCAGAATCGGTGACGTCTTCTGGAGCGCCAGCACGACCACAGTCAGCTCTGAATCATCCGCAGAATCAGAATCGGATTCAGAATATGTACAACGACTCGAAATTCTCATTTCTGAACACGTTGCCCATGGAAAAAGTCGATCGATGGTTGCAGTGTGCTGAATTCGTTTTCTAGGGAGGACCGGGAGATTCTGAGTATGAGATTTGACAGGAAATCTGGATCTGGAGAATGGCTGAAAACTAGAAAATTCAAATTTTCTGATTTTTCCGAATTTCTGAAATTCTGGATTTTTTGGAAATTCTGAATATTTGAATTTCCGAATTTCGGATTTTTAGAACTTCTGAATTTCCGAATTTTTGAATTTCTAAATTTCGGAATTTCTGAATTTTTGAATTTTCCAATTTCTGGATTTTTTGGAATTTCTGAATTTCTGAAATTCTGAATTTCGAATTTTTAGAATTTCTGGATTTTTTGGAATTTCTGAAATTCTAAATTTCGGATTTTTAGAATTTCCGAATTTCGGATTTTTGGAACATTTCATTTCTTTAAAATTTTCCAAAAATTTGAAACTTTCATTTTTCAAAGTTTTGGAAATTCTCGAAAATCAGCCATTTTTGCCATTTTTTGTCACATTTTCAGTCAAATTTCTCACATTTTTTCTCTTCTTTTCTTCCAATAAATTGTACTTTTTTTCAAAATTTTGGAATTTTACTCAAAATCTCCCACCCTATTTCCTAGGATTTTTTCTAGATTTTTTCTTTTTTTCCCTGAATTTTTCCCATTTTTAAACCGAAAATTCTCCGTTTTTCCTGTCCTTCCTCCCATCCGATTTCTCTATTTTTTCAATTTTTTGAAAAAATTTGCTTCTTCAAAATATTCAAAAAAGAACACATTTTTTTAATTTTTCGCCGATTTTTTAAACGATTTTTCTGAAGATTTCACCTTTCCGGCTTTTCTTCTTCTGTAATTTTTTTTGGCATTTTTGTGTGCATAGATTTATATAGATTTATATAGATTTTCCCCATTTTTCTAGCTTTTCTCTTTCTCGAAAATCCATTTTTTTCTGGTGAATTTCACTATTCTAGAGCTCTTTCTCTCTCCTTTTTTCTCTCAATTTTCCGAGGTTTTGTCCATGATTTTCCATGATTTTCCCACATTTTTCATATTTTCTCCCCACCTTTTTTTTTCGCTTTTTAACACCCAAAAAATTTAGAAAATTCTAGTAATTTAACACTGATACACCCACCCAACCACCCCCCACAGAGCTTGTTTTTCCCATTTCCAGACATATAGAATTTATATATATATATATATATATATATATATTTCTTTTGTGCGATTCGATGATTTCTTTCTTGTTCTTTTGCGATATATTTTCAAATGAAACAGTTTTATCCATTGTTTTGAATGCGTTTTCAGAGGTTTCATACCGAGTTTGTGAGCACTTTTTACCGTTTTCACAGGTTTTGTTTTTTTTACCTTTGCAAATCCGCTCTATTGATAAAGGGGCGGGGCTAAGCTTTTTCAAAGTTTCAAAAAGGAAAAAATTCTCCCCTGAAACGAGAGATCTTTTTCCGGTGAAGTGACGCAGAAATTTTCGGTGAAGAGACGCAGACAACGAAACGAAAAGTTTGATCCTCAGCCATCAATTTGGCTGCGTTCTCATTAAAGCGCATTCACAAAGATAGTAAAACAAACACTGTGCGTTTTTATTTTGTAAAAATCGAAAAAATCGAAATTCCAATATTTTGAATTTTTTTGGATTTTTGAGAATCTGAAATCTCTGACAAACTAACTTTCGAAACGATTTGCAACTAACTATAAGACATTTCGCAACTAGGAAGTTTCCCAAATAGGGCATTTCGTAGCTTTGACATTTCGCAACTTTAATATTTGGCAACTATGACGTTTCGCAACTAGGACATTCGGCAACTAAGACATCTCGCAACTATGCGGTTTTGCAACTATGACATTACCCAACTATGACGTTTCGCAGCTATGAAATTTCGCAACTATGACTTTTTGCAACTTTGACATTTCGTAACTATGCGTTTTACATTATGACATTCCGCAACTATGACGTTTCGCAACTAGGACATTTCACAAATAGGACATTCCGCAACTATGACGTTTTACATTATGACATTTCGCAACTAGGAAAAAAAACATAAAATGAAAAAAATCGAAATCCCAAAATTTTAAACATTTTTTGGATTTCTGAAAATATGAAATTTCTAAAAATCCTGAAAATTGCAAATAATCAAAATTCCCCCAATTTCTCCCAAAAAAAATTGAAAAATTCCAGAATGTTACTATCGAAATGGCGTGCTGGGGTCCTACACCGACAGGTACGGTATCTGCAAACCGTACTCAATTGGCCATTCCAATCGGAAATCAAAATTAGTGAAAAAATGAAATCACTCGAAGAGTCGTGGTCGAAAAAGTTGATGGAGCATTTTGAGAATCAAAAAACGGTCAGTGGAAGGACATCGGGACATTTGGGATGCACAGACAGATGGAATTTTTCCAAAAAAAATTCAAAACTTTTGAATTTTTTGAATTTCAGAAATTCGAAATTCTCTACAAAGACTATAAACTACAATTACTAGACTAGAAAGATTTTTGAAATTCGGATTTTTCAGAAAATTAGAATTTTTTGAAATTTCAAGTAATTCTAATTTTCTTGAGTTTCCGAATTTCTGAATTTCAACAAACTACAATGTCAAGACTACAAAAACTACAAACTACAACGTATAGACTTTTTTGGAATTTTGGAATTTCTGATTTGTTGGTTTTTTTTATTTTTGGCGTTTCAGAATTTCCAAATTTTTGAAAATTACAATGCCTAGACTACAAAGACTACAAACTACAACGTATGGACTACAAAAGCTACAAACTACAATGTTTCAGATACCGTGCCGCCTGAATGAGAAGAAATACATCCTTTCAATGTTCCCATATCCATCGGGACGTCTTCATATCGGCCACATGCGTGTTTATACGATTTCCGATGCGACCGCCCGTTATTATCGATTGAATGGATATCGAGTGATTCATCCGATCGGATGGGACTCATTTGGATTACCGGCTGAAAATGCGGCTAGAAATAATGGGGTTGATCCGAGAGAATGGACCATTCAAAACATTGAAACAATGAGAAGACAGTTGAAAGCGACGCAGGTGGGTTGCGAAACGTCATAGTTGCGAAATTTCATAGTTGCGAACCGGCATAGTTGCGAGATTTCATAGTTGCGAAATGTCCTAGTTGCGAAATGTCATAGTTGCGAAATGTCATAGTTGCGAAACGTCATAGTTGCGAAATGTCCTAGTTGCGAAACGGCATAGTTGCGAAATGTCATAGTTGCGAAATGTCATAGTTTCTAAACAACATAGTTGCGAGATTTCATAGTTGCGAAATGTCATAGTTGCGAAATGTCATAGTTGCGAAATGTCATAGTTGTGAAATGCCATAGTTGCGAAACGGCATAGTTGCGAAATGTCATAGTTGCGAAATGTCATAGTTTCTAAACGACATAGTTGCGAGATTTCATAGTTGCGAAATGTCATAGTTGCGAAATGTCATAGTTGCGAAATGTCATAGTTACGAAACGTCATAGTTGCGAAACGTCCTAGTTGCGAAACGTCACAGTTGCGAAACATTATAGTTGCGAAGTGTCATAGTTGTGAAATGCCATAGTTTCAAAACGGTCTAGGTGGGAAATGTCTTAGTTGCGAAATGTCATAGTTGCGAAATGTCAAAGTTGGGAAATGCCATAGTTGCAAAACGTCATAGTTGCGAAATGTCATAGTTGCAAAAACGTCCTAGTTGCGAAATGTCATAGTTTCTAAACGACATAGTTGCGAGATTTCATAGTTGCGAAATGTCATAGTTGCGAAATGTCATAGTTGCGAAATGTCATAGTTGTGAAATGCCATAGTTGCGAAACGGCATAGTTGCGAAATGTCATAGTTGCGAAATGTCATAGTTTCTAAACGACATAGTTGCGAGATTTCATAGTTGCGAAATGTCATAGTTGCGAAATGTCATAGTTGCGAAATGTCATAGTTGTGAAATGCCATAGTTGCGAAACGGCATAGTTGCAAAAACGTCCTAGTTGCGAAATGTCATAGTTTCTAAACGACATAGTTGCGAGATTTCATAGTTGCGAAACGGCATAGTTGCGAGATTTCATAGTTGCGAAACGGCATAGTTTCTAAACGACATAGTTGCGAGACTTCATAGTTGCGAAATGTCCTAGTTGCGAAATGTCATAGTTGCGAAATGTCATAGTTGCGAAATGTCATAGTTGCGAAACGTCATAGTTGCGAAATGTCCTAGTTGCGAAATGTCCTAGTTGCGAAACATTATAGTTGCGAAATGTCCTAGTTGCGAAACATTATAGTTGCGAAGTGTCCTAGTTGCGGAACGTCACAGTTGCGAAACATTATAGTTGCGAAGTGTCATAGTTGTGAAATGCCATAGTTTCAAAACGGTCTAGGTGGGAAATGTCTTAGTTGCGAAATGTCATAGTTGCGAAATGTCAAAGTTGGGAAATGCCATAGTTGCAAAACGTCATAGTTGCGAAATGTCATAGTTGCAAAAACGTCCTAGTTGCGAAATGTCATAGTTTCTAAACGACATAGTTGCGAGATTTCATAGTTGCGAAACGGCATAGTTGCGAGATTTCATAGTTGCGAAACGGCATAGTTTCTAAACGACATAGTTGCGAGACTTCATAGTTGCGAAATGTCATAGTTGCGAAATGTCATAGTTGCGAAATGTCATAGTTGCGAAACGTCATAGTTGCGAAATGTCCTAGTTGCGAAATGTCCTAGTTGCGAAACATTATAGTTGCGAAGTGTCCTAGTTGCGGAACGTCACAGTTGCGAAACATTATAGTTGCGAAGTGTCATAGTTGTGAAATGCCATAGTTTCAAAACGGTCTAGGTGGGAAATGTCTTAGTTGCGAAATGTCATAGTTGCGAAATGTCAAAGTTGGGAAATGCCATAGTTGCAAAACGTCATAGTTGCGAAATGTCATAGTTGCAAAAACGTCCTAGTTGCGAAATGTCATAGTTTCTAAACGACATAGTTGCGAGATTTCATAGTTGCGAAACGGCATAGTTGCGAGATTTCATAGTTGCGAAACGGCATAGTTTCTAAACGACATAGTTGCGAGACTTCATAGTTGCGAAATGTCCTAGTTGCGAAATGTCATAGTTGCGAAATGTCATAGTTGCGAAACGTCATAGTTGCGAAATGTCCTAGTTGCGAAATGTCCTAGTTGCGAAACATTATAGTTGCGAAGTGTCCTAGTTGCGGAACGTCACAGTTGCGAAACATTATAGTTGCGAAGTGTCATAGTTGTGAAATGCCATAGTTTCAAAACGGTCTAGGTGGGAAATGTCTTAGTTGCGAAATGTCATAGTTGCGAAATGTCAAAGTTGGGAAATGCCATAGTTGCAAAACGTCATAGTTGCGAAATGTCATAGTTGCAAAAACGTCCTAGTTGCGAAATGTCATAGTTTCTAAACGACATAGTTGCGAGATTTCATAGTTGCGAAACGGCATAGTTGCGAGATTTCATAGTTGCGAAACGGCATAGTTTCTAAACGACATAGTTGCGAGACTTCATAGTTGCGAAATGTCCTAGTTGCGAAATGTCATAGTTGCGAAATGTCATAGTTGCGAAATGTCATAGTTGCGAAACGTCATAGTTGCGAAATGTCCTAGTTGCGAAATGTCCTAGTTGCGAAACATTATAGTTGCGAAGTGTCCTAGTTGCGGAATGTCCTAGTTGCGAAATGTCCTATTTTTCGTCAGATTCAATTCGACTGGAATCGTGAAATCTCAACATGTGAACCGGAATTCTATCGTTGGACCCAATGGATATTTTGTCGTCTTTTCGAGAATGGACTCGTTCGACGAACACAGGCAGAAGTCAATTGGGATCCAATCGATCAGACGGTCTTGGCTGCAGAACAAATCGATAATGAGGGAAGGAGTTGGAGAAGTGGAGCGGTTGCGGAGAAGAAGAAATTGAGGTAAGCAAATGCTGAAAATTCGGGAAACAATGAAGAAAATCGGCTGAAAACGAGACATTTTGTACAAAAAATCGATTGAAAAAATATAGACTACAAACTACAAAAAGCGAATTTTTAATTTTTTTAATTTTTGAAACTTTGGTTTTTTCGAAATTTTCGGAATTTCAGAGTTTTCGAGTTTTCAATATTCCGAAATTTTCAAATTTCTATGATCTTCGAATTTTCGAAATTTGAAAAAAAAAAATTTTTAATTTTTTAAGAAATTTTTTAAATTTTTTGCAAAGACTATAAACTACAGAATCTAGACTACAGAAGCTACAAACTACAAGCGAAATTTTTCGAAACAGCCGAAATTTCCAAAAACTATGGAAATTAGACTACAGACTACAGTATCCAGACTACGATGACAACAAACTATGATAGCTTGACTACAAAGACTACAAACTACAAAAAGCGAATTTCTATGTTTTTTTTTCAAATTCTGTATTTTCGAATTTTCGAATTTTTTGAAAATTTGGATTTTTCGAAATTTTCAGGAATTTTAAGTTTTCGCGATTTCAGAATTTCCGATTTTTTCCGATTTTTTCGAACTTTCAATATTCCGAATTTTTGAAAATTTTTACGATTTTTGAAAATTTTCGGAATTTTTTACAAAGACTACAAGCTACAGAATCTGGACTACAAAAGCTACAAAATACAAAAATCGAAAAATTTGAAATGCCCAAAACGCTTTGGAAATTTGACTACAAACTAGAATACCCACGCTACAAACTACAAACTACGATTTAGCTAGACTACAAACTACACAAATTGCAGCCAGTGGATGATCGAAACGCCCAAATACGCGAAACGTCTCCAGGAAGGCCTTCGAAAAATGTCTGAGCAATGGGGCGAAGTTGCTGACATCCAAGCGAATTGGATCGGAAAATGTGACGTATTTCGATTCATGCTTCCGGTGATTGGCACAGAAAACGAATTTATCGATTTGAGGATTCGTGATATTTTTGAAATTTCGAATGCAGAGTTTCTGGTCCTGAAACGGGCCCATCCGATGGCTGATAAGACCCAGGAACAGTTTCCATGTAGGTTAAAAAAAGGTTTTGGACGGGGCGAGGAGTCGAACCAGGGTGATGAGATTGGTGGGCAAAACACTGCGCCAGTCGGCCGTATATAAGCGGCCGCCGGCGTTATTGCTGTCCTGGGCGCCGTGGCCGAGTGGAGAATGCGCTTGCCTACCAATCTGAAGGACGCGGGTTCGATTCCTCCCGGGGTACAAAGTTTTTTTTCTTTTTTTCAGACAAACTACCATTCGAAGTGCTTAACGGAGTAACTGGCCGTCGAATTCCAGCGATTGTTGTCGACGATGACTACCTTCCAGACACTGAATTCTTCTTAAATACCAGAATTGGAAATTTCAAAACTGATAAAGAATTAGCAGAGAAATTCAGAGTCCAAGAGCCGAAACTCAAGCGGGTGTTGACCAAAAATGATATTCAGGAGATGGCGGCGGTATCTAGCTCTCAAAATTTCAAAAAATCGATAATCGATTTTTGTTTGCAGTTCGGCGGCTACGGTGGCTACGAAACGTCGAGAACGTTAACCGATTGGGTTGTGAGTCGACAGCGAGCATGGGGAACGCCGATTCCGATGATTCAAACAGAAAATGGAAGACGAGCCGCTGCGAAATTGGAAAAATTGCCAGTTTTGGGAACGGATCGGGGGCAGAAAGTCGATGAGAAGAGATTTGAAACCGCTGGAACTTTTGATTCTGACACTTTGGACACTTTCTTTGATTCGTCGTGGTTAGTGTGGGAAAGAGAGACTACAAACTACAAAAAAAATTGGAAAAAAAATCTGAAAATCTACAATTTTAAACAAACTACAAGATGTAGACTACAAACTACAAAAAAAACCGAAATTGGAAGGGGTTCGATATTTGAAAGTGTTGAAAATTCTGGAAAAGTTACAAAAAGCAAGAAAAAACAATATCTGGACTACAAAGTATAAACTACAAACTACAAAAATTCTGTATTTTTGGATTTTTTGAATTTTTTGAAAATTTGGTTTTCTCGAAAAATTTTCGGAAATTTTAAGTTTTCGGAAATTCGGAATTTTCAATATTCCGAATTCTTTTAAACTAGGAAAATTAGACTACAAACTACAGAATCTAGACTACAAAGACTACAAACTATAGTAGCTGGACTATAAACTATAATGGCTAGACTTCAAACTATAAGATCTAGGCTACAAACTATAGGATTGGACTACAAACTACAAACTACAAAAACCACGATATCTCCGTGTTTCAGGTATTAGGTTACAAAATGCAAAAAAAAAACAATATCTGGACTACAAAGTGTAGACTACAAACTACAATAAAGAAATACTTTCGAAAAATTAGGAACGTTGACTACAAACTACAAACACCACGGGATATTTCCGTTTTTCAGGTATTATCTCCGCTATTTGGATCCAAAAAATGCGTCAAAACTCGCTGACGACGTATTTCTGAAGGAAATGCCAGTTGATGTATACGTTGGAGGCATCGAACACGCTGCTGTTCACATGTTCTTCGCCAGATTTGTCTCGTATTTCTTGAATGACATTGGAGTGATTCCCGTGCGTTTTTCAGGCTTAAATTTGGCTGAAAATAAGCTAAAATTTGAAATTTTTGACCCAAAATTAGTGAAATTCATGGAAACTCGAAAAATCGAAAAAAAATTTTTTTTCAAACTTGAATTTTTGTCGGAAATTTCTCTGAAAATTATTTTTTAATGTAATTTTTTTCAACAAAAAATAAGGATTTTTTGTAGTTTGTAGTGTATTTCAGACCGCCGAACCATTCACCGATTTAATCCCACAAGGAATCGTCCGCGGCAGGACTTTCATCGAAAAATCCAGCGGAAAATACCTATCTCCAGACGATGTGGAATACTCAGATGACCAAAAATCGATACGGCTAAAATCGAATCCTACTGTAGAGGTGGAATCGATTTACGAAAAAATGAGCAAATCGAAGAATAATGGAGTGGATTTGGTGGAACTGTTGACGACGGATGGCATCGATTTGACGAGATTGAGGATTCTCGAAGCAGCTGCTCCACGAGCACCGATCAATTGGGGAGAGACGGATTTGAAGGGGGCTAAGGTATACTGTACTTTCAGAAATTACAAAAAATTTGACTTGAAAACGAAAAGAAAGATTTTGGACGAGGGGAGGAGTCGAACCAGGGATGTGAGATCGGTGGGCAAAACTCTGCGCCAGTCGGCCACACAGCACACTGTGGAGAGACGCAGAGAGCGCGCCTATATAAGCTGCTGCCGGCGTTATTGCCCTCCTGGGCCCGTGGCCGAGTGGAGAGTGCGCTTGCCTATCAATCAGAAGGTCACGGGTTCGATTGCTCCCGGGGTTAAAACTTTTTTCTTTTTTTTTGCAAATAAATTCAAGAAATCCAAAACTGGAAATTGCAAAATTTTTCACAATTTTTTTCAGAAACTTCTCGATCGAATCGCCACAATGACATCTGATGTCATTAAATCACGAGTAGCATCTTCAGAATTCAAAAAAGACCCAAACATCGACTCCCAAATCAAAGAAACCTATAATTTCTTCGTTCGAAACGTCGGAATGTGTCTAGAAGTCCTTCATCTACATAATACCGCTTTGATGAGACTTCAGGGATTCACAAACGCGTTAAAAGTGAGTTTTCTAGGCCATTTTAGCATGGTGGCCGAACTTTTGCAAGTTGATATTTCTAGGCCATCATGTTAAATGGCCTAGAAATGACCTAATATTCACTTGGAGTGTTTTCTAAACAATTTTAGCATGGTGGCCTAACTTTTGCAAATTGGGGTTTTGAAGGCCAGCTTTTTTTTTCAGAAAATCGATCCGGTTTACTTGGCGAATAGCGAGGAAGGAATTCGAGCTGTTCGATCGTTGATAATTATGCTGCAAGTGGGCATTTTTGTAGTTTTTGTAGTCTGGAAATTCTTTAAAAATTTGAATTTTTTAAAATTCTAAAATCTAAAAAAATTAGAATTTTAGAAAATCTCAAATTTGTAAATTTCCGAAATTCAAAATTTTCAGAATATTTGTTCCCAAAAAAACCCCCAAAATTTCAGGTTTTCTGTCCCCACGTGGCTGCTGAAATGTGGACGGCCCTGGAGCCCGATTCCGGCCTAATTTTGACCCAAAATTGGCCTGAAATCGACGCCGACGCCGACGTGGAATTCCTTCTGATGATTGACGGCGTCAGTGGAGGACGTCCAAGTGTTGGAAGACAGAAAATTGAAAATTTGAGATTAGAGGATTTATGGAAGAGGGCGGAGCTTAACGAGCACTCGGATATTTTAAAAATGATTAAAGCCGATGGAATTGTGTTGAAGGATCATAGGTTTTCAGCGAGAAAAGGTTTTTTAATTTTTTGTAATTTTCGAAAACCTAAAAATTCTAAAATTGACCTAAAATTGTTCCAGGCTTCCATGTGACACTGGCATGCAATACTGAAGGTGATAAAGACGAAAATCGCAAGAAAATCGGCAAAATTTTGGACCGGATTCAAGCGGAAAAACGAAAATCCGACAAGAAGAAGAAGGCGAAAAAGGCGGCGAAATAATGCATTTTTTGTTAATTTCTAGATTTTTTTGTTGTAGATTTTAGATTTCAGATTTTTTTCCAGTTTTTTTCTTGTTATGATCTGTTTTTTGTTTGATTTTCGGCATAAAATTCGAGAGAGAAAGATAAAGTTTTGAATCGCTCGTGGTGTTCCTTGCATCGTACGCAATTGCGCGTCGCGGTGTTTGCGAACCTTTAAAAAAATTAGAGCATTTTTCTCAAATTGAGAATTTAAAGGGGGACTCCGGTCAAATTTTTTATTGCATTAAAATGTGTTAAAAGTTATCTATTTTCCTAATATTATTGCGAAAAGTTTTTTTAAAAATCCGAAATCCCCGAAAAACGCCGTTGAAAAGGAAAAAATTCAAAAAAAGGTGCCGCCGAGTGACGAGGATTTTCAGTGAGAAACCTAGGCCACGCGTGCGGCGTGGCTTTCTTACCGGACAATTTCTCCGGATTTTTTTCCGCTTTTATCTCCGACAGGTAAGAAACGTTAAAAAACACTGTCGGCCAGTTGAAAATAATGCTATCAGGCGCCGTGGAATAGGTTTCTCACTGCGCGGGAATTCAAATCCTCGTCCCTCGGCGGCATCTTTTTTGAATTTTTTTTCACTTTCAACGGCGTTTTTCGGGGATTTCGGATTTCTTTCGAATTTTTCGCAATAATATTCGAAAAATAGATAACTTTTGAAACATTTTAATACAAAAAAAATTTTGGTCGGATTCCCCCTAAAAAAATGCAAAAATTTGGAATTTTCTAGCTTGAATTTTACTTATTTAGCCTGAAATAGTGAGCTAAATTGTCGAAAAATCAATTTTTAAAATTCCCAAATTAATTTTTTCGATGTTTAGTTTTTATGGCCCAGATATATATCCAAAGATCGGATTTTCGACTCATACCAAATTCAAATTCCCTCATTTCCCTCCAAAAACATCATCGCGTTCTCCATAGAGCACACTTGCAGCCACCCTCACATTGTGGGAGTTTGACAGCAGTTTTTGATGTTTTTTGCCTTCTGGGAAAGGTGTAGAGGATTAGAAAGTGTCGATGAATCCGATTGTAGACGATTTCTATTCGTTTTGGCTATTTTTATCGCTCTGTAGTAAGACTTGCAGACAAAAATCGATCTTTTTGAGTCAATTTTGAAATTTCAAGAGTTCCTATTTGAAAAAACGAATTCAGCATGAAATTTTACATCGAACGATATTAAAATTTCCGTTTTTTTTGTCTTTAAAAAAAATTTCAGAAAAAATTCTCAAAAAATGAGTAATTCAATTGCAAGCGGCTCATCGTCATCGTCCCCAAACGCCTCCTCGACATCTTCAAACGACGAAGATGCGATGAAAGAAAGTGAGCGTGTCGGTTCTAGAACGGTTCAGTTTCGAAATGACCCAATTTTAGACCACGCCCCAGTCCACGTGGCAACTGGCGACGACGGTGATGAAAACGGCGAATTCACACCGGAACGATCAGAAGAGCCCGAGGAGGAGCAAGAGGAGCAGGATCAGGTTGGTTTTTAGGGGAAAATTGACCTGAAAATATGGAAAATTGGCTGAAAATGGCAAAAATAATCCGGAAAAATATGAAAATTGGGGAGAAAATGTCTGAAAAATATCAAGTGTTGCGGTAAATCGGCCAAAAAACACGGAAAACAGCCGAAAAATTGTTGAAATTCGCCTAAAATGACTCAAAAAACCGATAAATTGTCGAAAATAATCCGAAATTTGTCAAGAATCGTAGAATTTTAAACGAAATTGACAATTCACTTCTAAAAATAGTGAAAATAAGGACTAAATGACCCGAAAAATCGTTCAAAGCTGTCTAAATTTGAATTTGGCGCCAAAAACTTTCCTAAAATCGCTTGAAAGCACTTTAAATCTGATGAAAAATCGTTTTTCAACTGAATTTGATACCAGAATTCTGATTGAAAATAGCTGAGAATATAGGAAAAATCACTTAAAAATCGTTCAAGAACCATCTGAAATATGACCGAAAAACAATGAAAATAAAAATTTGCAGAAAAAAGCTCAAAATCATAGAAAATCACTGAAAAGTCGGCGAAAAATAACCTAAAACCATGGAAAATCAATGAAAAATCGTCGGGTAATGACCTAAAAACATGAAAAATCATCGAAAAATCGGCAAAAAAATGGCCTAAACCCATGAAAAATCATGGAAAAATCGGCTAAAAATGACCTAAAATCACGGAAAAATTGTCTGAAATCTCAAAATATCCAGCAAGACGACCTGCTACCTCGTCTAACCCGTCAATCGGAATCAACAGAATCCTCCAGAGAACGCGACGCTGATGACGAAGAAGACGTTGGTGATGAAGAAGCAGAGAATGATAGAATCCATGACGAGGACGATGATTTCATGATGGATACGAATGATGAAGTAGGAGAAGAAGAGGACGATGTCGATGACGATGATGAAGAGCGAATGGAACGAATTCCAGGACCAAATCTAGAAGCCGTTGAGCATATTTTCCCATTTAGTAAGCGGAAATTCCAAGAAAATTAGGTTTGAAAATGGCAAATTTTGAGCGATTTTCGTTCTAAAAATGCCCCATAAATCCGGAATTCTGGGTTTCTAGGCCATCATAACATGCGCTGAAATGCATTTAGTGGCCTAGAAATTCATTTCATTGGATTTCTAGGCCAATTTTTTGACAAATTTTGACCAGGAAAAACCCCAAAATATCCCCTAAAAATTCGATAAAAATCTGACATTCCAGCTGAAAGTTCTAGAAAAATCGCTGGAAAATTAACCCGGAAAAAATCAAAAGTTCGGATTTTACAAAATTTGAAAAAAAACGCTCAGAATGGCCTAGAAATCCAATATATGGAAATTCTAGGCCATTTTTAATCAATTCTAACCCCCAAAAGTCTCAAAACCCATCAAAAACCCCAAAATATCCCCATTTTTGCAGGTAATCCCCTATCGAAACGTGGCAACAACATTCGTACAGGAGCGGAATTTCAAACGGATCTCCCGGAAATCCAACCGGACTCTGATAGGGAAAACGAGCAGAATCGAGAAATCTTGATTTGGGAAAATCCGATCGATGTGGATGATGAGCAATTGGAGGATTATGTTAACGAAGCGGTGACCAGATATCACCTTTCTATTGACAGGGTTAGTAGATGGTGGTCGTGGGAGTTCTAGGTCATTTTTTGATTTTTCCCCTGTGAAAATTGATCTAGTTTGAGTAAAAATTGAGTTTTTTAGCGAAAAAAGTGGTCTAGACTACAAACTACAAAAACTAGATTACAAACTATGATAGCTACACTACAAACTACAGCAGATAGGCTACAAACTATGATAATTACACTACAATAGCTAGACTACAAACTACAATAGCTATACTACAAACCATAAATGTTGAGCTACAAACTACAAAAGCTAGACTATAAACTACAATAGCTAGATTACAAACTACAAAATCTAGACTACAAACTGCAAGAGCTAGATTAAAAACTACAAGGACTAGACTACAAACTGCAATAGCGAGACTACAAACTACAATAGCTAGACTACAAACTGTGATAGATAGACTACTTTCTACAAAAGCTAGACTACAAACTACAATAGCGAGACTACAAACTACAACAGCTAAACTAGAACGGTTGGCCTAGAAAAATGAAACCCGAAAACTAGGCCATCTAGGGCAAAAATTCTGCCAGCTGACCTAGAAAACCCACTTCGGGCAGCTTTACCCGAAAATTAGGCCATGACCTAGAAACCTCATCCCTGATTATACTTTCGGTGGCCTAGAAAATTTCCCATAACCTAGAAATCCAGTTCAGCCCATCTATAGTTGCTGGCCTAGGAAAAACTTCGGCCATGGCCTAGAATAACCAATTTTTCAGGCCCTCTACATTCTAATGAAGGAAAAGTTCGATTTCGAGAAGGCGATCAACGAATGTGCCAGTCGTCGTACGTTTGGTGATGACTGGAAACAACAGGAGAAGGAGCTCTTCACGACGTGTCTATTCACTTTTGGAAAACAATTCAAGAAGATTCAGAAGGCGGTGAGGCTTTTTTTTGACGATGAAAATGGAGGATTTCGGCTGAAAATCCGAGAAAAAACGGTTCAAAAATGGCTGAATTGAAGCTTTGGCTGAGTTTTGGGTTCCTAGGCCATCACTTCATTTTTCATTTAAAAAAAGTTTGAAAAAAACTGAAAATCATCAATATCGTTTCAATGCAATTAGTGGCCTAGAAATTACGTTTTTTTTTGTATTTCTAGGCCATGGGCGAATGTGAGCTGAAAATAGAAAAAAATCGGTTCAAAATTAGCTACTGACCAGAAAAGAGCGGTGGCCTAGAAAACACTTTTTTGAATTTCTAGGCCACCTCTGAATTTCAACTAAAATCGAAAAAAATCGCTGCCTTAAAATTTACCTGAAACGGTGGCTGGCAATCCACAAATTTGGGTTCCTAGGCCACTGCTGGCCTACGCTTAGAATCGGTTTTCTAGGTCATCTCGATGATAGGTGATGGCCTGGAAACCCATAATTCTGAATTTCTAAGCCACCATGGATGGAATTTTTGCAGATACCCCACCGCAACATTTCGTCGATCGTCCGCTATTACTACGATTCGAAATACATTGAGAACTACCGTAAGCACATGCATGTGCCATGGATCGATGAGGAGGATCAGTACGATAAGCTGCTGGGCGAGATCAACAAAATGGATTTTCACATGTCCGGACTGTGTGAGAATTGTTTCCAGCGGAGCACTGTGTTGATTGTGAGTCGACCACATTGGTTGGTGGCCTAGAAGTTTCCGACTTTTGGATTTCTAGGCCACCGATTCAGTTGGCCTAGAAACCGAGAAAATTGAGATTTCTAGGCCCTCTTAGCTTAATTTTAATGGCCTAGACGCATAAAAACCGCATTTCTAGGGTGTTTTTTGGATTCCTAGGCCAGATAATTTTTGGATGGCCTAGAATTCCATAAATGTGAGTTTCTAGGCCATCGCCCCCTTTTGGATAGCCTAGAAAAACGATTCGGAGTCTAGGCTATCTAAAAATGAGCTGAAAATCGTGCCAATCGAGAAGTGGCCTGGAAATCTAGATTTTTGGATTTCTAGGCCATCACTTTTGGCCTAGAATTTCAAGAATTTGGATTTCCAGGCCACTGCTCGATTGGCATGATGTTCAGCTCATTTTACATGGGCTCTGAAAAAATCACGTTGTTAGGTCATTCACAAGCACCGTG